TGATTAAACGGTAGTGACGTATATCGTTTTTGAGTGGGAAAGTCTGGGGAGTTCCATCAAGTATTAGAAATGAAGGAATTGTCGTGGGTATTAAGGTTTCTTGAGAGCGTTCAAGGAAAAGGGAGGGTGGACTTTCATTTTATCATTCGTTCGGTAAAAAAATACAAGTTATTATTTAATATATACTTCACGTATCCCTTCATAAAATGTATTTATAGAACTGCCGCCAAACAATCTGTGCAACCATTACATATGTCAAATTGTCCACCTTGCAATATACTTGACTTGAGCCGACGTGGACTAAAAGGAAGTACAGTTTAGGTTGGCTGTTTGGTCGCGCAACCCTCAGTCGAACGGGCAGCCCATCTGCATAGGTAAAACTGGTTGAGTCCTTACCACTGCAGGACCACAACGAGGAGACCACGAACAGGGAAGTGTTACGTTGTTGCTAACTAGTCCCGCTTTTTTAACGCTGATTTGGGTGACTTGTGTAATTCGTGGAGAACCGAAGAGTTTCCGTCATGCCGGCCGTCCGAACGGACGGACAACTTCTCACTTCAAAAAAGAAGAAGAAATCTAGATCGCAAAATAATTAAACAAGCGAGTGCCTGTTTTTCCTGGCCAAGGACAGGTTCATTGAACACAACACGAGCGTAACATGTCTTCACCATAGGTCTTCACGTGGTTATGTCTTGTCTGGAAGGTGTAACGGAGAGCATCGGAACGCTGCTCCAGCTCTTCAAATATTGCAGTACCCATAAGGAGCCGTACACATGCCGCAGTGTTTGCGAGGCTCTGTCTTTAGTTGTTAGCACAGTGGCGATCTGTTGTTATTAGCATCTGGTTAGTTAGCTATGCTAACGAATTTAAAGAGCTTTTCTACAACCAGGTGGAAGAGAGCTCTCTCCTGAGAGGCTCAAATAACCTTAGCTCAGTGAGGTTAAGGCACACCTTGATATGGTCATTATAGTTATTAATGAGACATTAGAGACTCAATTATTAACAGGTATAAAATACTATATGACAGTAACAAAAAAAAGTTGTTAAAAATAACAAGAATAGAGTTTGAAAGGGGAGTGATTTGTAAAATATCCAAAAAGAAAAATCTGTCATTGTCAGATGGTATATTACGCTGTTTTTTTTCTGCTTCGAATAGTTCTCTCTTTTTTCTCCATACCTGTGTTTGCATCACTGATTATAGAGACCCTAATCTTTAAGGCACTTTATTAAGCTGACTTGCACAAATGTGAAGTTCTTAACATACAAGAACTTTTAAATGTACGGTTGAGGTATTTTTGCTAAGGGATAAAAAGCGACTATGTAAATGAACAACTGCAGTCCTGTGACATTCAGTGAGACATTCATGAATACTGAATTTGTATTAAGTCGTACATTTTCCTCCATAAAGAGTATTTTTTTCTGAATTTGTTAATCGACTTGTGTGAAAATGTGTGGGTGGAAATTGAAAGATTGTTGATTTGCATTTCAGTTTTATGAATATTCTATAGCTTATTTCACAATTGGCTTTGAGCTCTAGTTGCTTTTTCCATATTTTACGTTTGTATTGAGTTTTTAATTTTCCTAGGTACGGGTTTGTGTACTTCAATGAAGATGTGAACATTCAGACGATCATTGAGGTGAGTGGAATTCTTTCTGTGCATATATCACTTATTATTTATTAGGGGTGCACCGAATGGGAAATTCTTGGCCGACACCGAAAATAGGAAACAGTTGGCCGAAAATGATTAATAGAAATATATATATATATATATGTATGTGTGTATATATATATATATATATGTATGTGTGTATNAGGTTCTCATTAATTAATTTTAGTTCCGGCTCTTTTTGGTGTGAACGCGACATTTCGGAACTATATCGGAACTAAAGTGGGAAAAGTACTTCGGTGTGAACGCGGCTATTGTGGTTTTTTTAACCAAATATCTCTCAGAGGGGCGTGGGGAGTGGCTCATTATTTTCATCTAAAGTAACAGACAGAGAATAAGCACTTTTGAAACAGGGCTGAAACAGAGGGGATTATGGGATGCTACAATGCACAATCTGTTTGGTATTTTGAGGCAAACACTTCAGAGACATGTTTTGTATATATCTGAGACCTATAGTATATTGGTGAAAAACATTATAATAGGGGACCTTTAAAATCACATTGCTTAGAGCAGCGGTTCCCAACCTGTGGGCATTATGATTTGTGTGGAAACATTTCATTGTTAAGATTTTTTTTATTTTAACCTCTTTTCCTTTGTCTTTCTTGATCCTCCTTAGCAACGGTCATTACAGTCCTTGACAGCGGTCTGTTCTACTGGATTAACAACGTGTCACATGTTCTGAATCGACCAATCAGAATCGAGTATTCAACTAAACTGTGTAATGCAAATGTCTGTTTGTTACTGATAGCCAGCTCATTTTCTAATTAAAATAAAAAGTACTTTATTTAGCCCCCCGTATTGTTTATGGTTGAATGTGGGCCGCGAAATTAATTTAGATTCTTAAGTGGGCCCTGAGTTGAAAAAGGTTGGGAACCGCTGGCTTAGAGAGTATTTAGATAACTGAATGTTGAACAATTTTCTCATAGACTTCTATAAATTTGACTTTTTTTTCTGAAAGCCCACAAGGTCAATCCCTTCTGGCCATTAGAAAAAATGTCAGTTTAAAGCAATTCAACATTGGCGTTACTTCTCAGACAAAGTGGTTGCCGCTTGGTTGCTAACTTTTACTGCCTGCTGGTGGTAGCTACTGTGGGTTGAAAAATGGGGTAGAAGACAATGGAGTTTCTTGGCTGAAAAACCAAAACGATATGTATAAAAACACTACTTAGGGCTGAGAGAAGCTGCGGAGGTCTGTAACATGTGGGTACACCATTACTCTCTTAAAATATTAATTTGATCCAGACGGAGGTCAAAGGTCAATAGCCTATCAGGTGCAGGTGCTGCTGGAGCTGGGAGGGGCTAAGAGAATATAAAGAGGGGTTCTCAGACTGCAGGATGATATCTTTATAAACTAGCCGCTCTGCTTTAACGTGGTAAAAAAACGTCTTCCAACACAGCTAGACAACATTCAAACAAACAAACATCTTGCACCTTGGTGTGTTGTCGTAATGTCAGCAGGTGTGGTCAGCTCCGTCCAGCTGCACAATCCTCTGAAGGGGTGTGAGCATGATCCTCACAGCCTCATTAACAAATCATAAAATCCTCACATGGGCATACAGTTGGGTGTGAGACAATGTTCAGATGGTCAGTCCATGTGAAAGATGAAAGAGTGAAGCTACACACTCATACACCGCAACACCCCAACTGTGTGAAAATGCGTTTTCTGGAGTAATTAAAAGGGGTTTTGAGTGAAGGCCTGCCAGTGTCACAGCTGGTGTGCGGGCAAAGTATAGTCAACATCTCTTCATCTTAAACTACATGAATGATGCATGCACAGATGGCCCAATAAAAACAGAAAAGTAATGGAGGGATGGATCGATAAATGATGAAAGCATGGATGGGCAGAAGAAAGGCCAAAAAGCCTCATGAACAATTCTTATTCTCTGCTCAATTGTATAATACTGTATTAGTACGGAATAGAGAAGAAATATCCTAATGATATTCCACTCTATAAACATCCGTCATAATCATAATCCTAGTAAATTCTTCGGCTTTAATACAATTCCTCTGTCTGTACATGTTGACCATTTATTTGTCTCCTTTCTCCCTCCATCTGTTAGAAGCAGTCAACATCTTCCGAGTTTATTTGGAGCCACAATGACACGTGGCAATTTTGCGAGGGATGAAAAATATCCCCCAGTCCTTAATATATGGGGAAACCCTATAGTTGTGAATACAGAAACTGTATAAAACGCATATATACGCACACCAACATGGCGTGTACGACTGGGCTATAATATGTTTGGACAGAGCAGGATGCCAGGCAGTGCCCGTTAAAGGCTCTAATGTGGCGGTGGTTTCATGGTGGTTGGCACAGATCAGCAGGAAGAGGGCAAAGAGAAGGGATATAAAAAAAGAGGGAGTGATGGGAGAAAGAGAGGGGGCTGCAAGCTAAAGAAAGAGGGCTATAGTTACAGAGGCACACCACATGCATCAAACAGTGGTGGATATATGCATTTCTCTCTCCGTGTCCTCACTTCATCCCTCCTTCTCTCTTTCTGGCCCATTCACAGTATGGTCCTCGGGTGATCAGAGTGGACCCTGCCCTCTCTCACTCCACTCTTTTCATCCCGTCTTCTCCTCTTGCCATGGAGGGAGAGAAGGGGGGAATCAAAACAGTCATACTTCCCCTAAACTCATCTTTTATTAATCAGACCTCAGCGGCGTATCTGGGGGGAAGAGTGACGCATGCTGCTTTGCAAGTTTAAAATGTAGCCTGTAGTGAACACGAAAGAGCACACACACACACACACACACACACACACACACACACACACACACACACACACACACACACAACTGACCGCCGACAAATGCCTCGGGTGTTTCATATTTCCTCCGCTGCATAACAGGCCATCGCGCAAAAACACCAGAGGGCTCAGTTTGTGCCTGAGTATGTGTCAAAGAGAGAGAAGGAGAAAAAGGAATTAGCGAGACAGATGACTCGGCTGCAACACACGACCTCCTCTGTCATTCATAAACCTCTCTTCTTTTTTCCCCTTACTATCTCACTTACACACTTGCGCACACACACACACACACACATCGGCTTACAGGCGGAGCAGAGCGGATATTCTGGGTGGTGTTATTCCAGGTGTGGAGTCGTTGAGGTCTCCATGCTGTGACCCTGTTATCCTGGGAAGAGGGAGAGTATTAGAGGCATGCCGGGAGAGGAAGAGACTCTATATCAAAAACACATTTCACCCCGAGGCTTTATCACTGCCGCTTATATGGCTACAAATAAAGACATGTGCACATATGTATACACGTGCAAACACATTTGTGCAAAAATGTGCATGCAATGTGTATGTACGAAACATACTGAGGGACTTTATCCTGCAATAATAGGAAATTGTTGACCAGGATGTGAAGAAATAGTTTCAAACTTTACAAAAAAGGGGAATGACATATGCCATTCACGTATATGTAAATGTACCTGGCAATAAACGTGATGATGGTTCTGACATGGTGAAAAACAATGGTGAAGACAAAGGATTCACAAAAGAGCTACTATTGAATTTAAATATATTAGAATATCAAGAATACTCGGTTTGTTAAGAGTATATTCTGTCTCAAGTGCACAGCCCATGTTTAGCAGTTATTGTTCAAAAATATCGTTGCTCGTCATGAATGATTCATTAACTGAAGCAATATGTAAGATACAGGATAGTCATTTTTGTTTCATAATGCATTTTGTAAGACAGCGTTCTAATTGTTTTAGGGGTGTAAACAAGAAGAATAAAGCTGGCATTGGTGTTTTCAATCACTTGTCAATACTGAATTCCTCTTATTGTGTGTATATAAATAATATATAATCGGGCAGAATAAATCCTTGTGTCTGTATGGCATGCGATTAAATATGATTACTCATGTGATCCTCTGAAAAGCTGCTGGATGATTGCTATCATTGATAACAGACAGCAAAGCTCTTGCAATGTATAGGCGCTAATCAAACTTCACTGATGTCTGCATTATGGTGCACACAATGTGTATTGCAGTACTAAGTGTGCCAATTCAGGGGGAAAAAAGGCCTTTTCTGGATGTGAGTGTTTTTGAGAATGTGTAACTTTGATCAATGTTCATGATGCTTCATAAAAGATTTGATGTCATGTTAGAGTTTGTTCTAGATTTCCACAGTTAAGACATTGTAATTACGACCAATTAGATCCTCGGAAAGGCTTAAAAATACTAACCCGCCCTGGGGAAAAAACATTGAAACATTATTTTTGGAACCAAAGTACTAAAATGTTGAATATACAAATGTATGTTCTGTGCTTGCTTTAACACAGACATTTCTTAAATATAGCAATAAAACAGCATTCCATAAGTTTGGCTAAACGCTAGTTAGCTCTGGGCTTGGTGCTGAACGCAGGCAAGAAGGCTTAGCGGACGCCTTCACCGCCAATTCTCAATTTTAAAGACGCCGTTCTTTGATTAAAAAACGCCTAAACTGTTCCAGTCGAGGCAGAAAAGAGAAAGGAATAAAACCAACATCTAACAGATGAAAATAACCGTTGTTCTCTAATTTTAAGAGGCACGTGTGTTGGGGTCGGCCTGCGACGTCAGTTACGAGCTGCAGATGTTTGTATGGCTTTTTATGATTGTTGTTATTTTCAAATTGCAGCGTTTCCGTGATGAGCTTTGCACTCTTTAGTTTGTGTGTGTGTGTGTGTGTGTGTGTGTGTGTGTGTGTGTGTCTGTGTGTGTGTGTGTGTGTGTGTGTGTGTGTGTGTGTGTTTACATGTGTGTGACTGAGAGGGGAACATCCAATGAAAAAAGTCTGGAGTACTTAATTAACCAATCTGAGTGCTTTTTAGCAGCTCATGCAGCCTAATCACAGGACACTATGGAGGTGATTACCCACATATACACACACACACACACACACACACACACACACACACACACACACACACACACACACACACACACACACACACACACACAAAAACTTTGTTTTCCTCAAAAAG